AGTATTAGTAAATTTGGCTGAAAGACCAATTTAGGTCTTTCAGCCTTTTAGTAGATAGCTCCCTAATACCGTGGGAATTAGGGAGTTATCTACTTATTCATTCCTGTCATTACATTGACAGGCTAAGTAACTTACATTTTATATGAATGTTTGTTACTTGATTGTTGTAAGTGTTGCAAATGCTTACAGCTGAATTCCAGCTATGTTTGTATACTTTTTATTTAAAATTGTATACAATGTAACATTCTTCTTCTTTCACTGGGTAAGTATATTAGTACTTAGGCAATACGGTGCTTCGGAACTTTGGCACTTCGGCACTTTGACACTTCGTAACTTCGGCAACTTCGTAACTTCGGCACGTCAGCACTTCAGAACTTCGGCACTTCGGAAATTTGGTAATTTCGGAACTTCGGGACCTTGGCAATTCAGGCGTTTCGGCAATTCGGACATTCGGAAGTACCCGAATGTCCGAATTGCCCGAAAATTCGTCCAAATTCATATTCGGACCGAAACTAATTGCACATGTCTAATAAATAAAATGTGATTGCACTTTATATGGAAGAGATATCTTTAAATATATAACTATATGGAGAAACTTCATGTATAGAACGCTTTGATTGAAGAGTGGTTGAACTGATATGTGTGTCAAACAGATTTAAAAGTTCTTGTGCATGGTATTGTGTGTGCATCTATTATCAATGGAACCAATTGGTAAGAGTTAAGGGATCTCTTTGTGTGGATGGGTGGACTAGAGGTGGAGATTTAAAAGTAGACTTCTGTATTATGCTATTAATGGATTTTACAAACTGATGCTAGTAGAGTGGATGGTTCACCTGATGTGAAATATTATTAGTATTAGTCACAGTGCTCACCACATTTTTATTTTTTAGAAAATATAATATATGCTGAGGTTGGTGAGATCCCTTAAACCACTTTGGCTTCTCCTAGCCCTCATAACACATTACCCTCCAACCCACTGGATGGAAAAAGACAGGAGGTAATACACTCGTCTTCCTCATCATTATTTGTTTTCAGTGGACCCAGAGTTTTATCTATTCATTTACTTATTTGATAATTTTACTTTTATTGATGTTACAGTCTCTAATTACAAAATTAAACATCTTTCTTTCTCTAAGGAAATTTCTGCAAAAAC